ATTTTGATATGTTTCTCTCGTGGAAGTCGATTATTACGAAATTTATATAAAATAATAAAAGTATCCTATATGTTAATAAAAGTATCCTATATGTTAATTCAGATAATAAACTATTTGTGTGCCAAATTTTTACATTCAAACTGGTCTGATACTTTTTCCGTGATTGAGGAACAACAAACATTTAAAAAAAAGTTTAAATGTTTGTTTGTTCCTCAATCACGGCATTTATTATTTTATTATTTATTAGTTTGATTAGTGTGAGTATGATGACTGAGCCTAATTTATTGTCTAACAAACAAAAATTCTTTAATCAGTATTTCTTGTTTAGTAATCCCAGAGAAATAATTGTAACATTAATAATAGATAGTTACATTATAAAAACAAAAAAAACGACTGCTTAAAAGTAATGAACTGAAAACATAGGTATAACTTATATATACATTTCAGTAATCTCCTTTTAATTTCGTTTATTTTGATACCCCTACCCCTATCGGTAGGTTGAGTAAAAAAAAATTAGGGACTTAGAATTTGGCGCCAAAAATCCATCATATTGATTTAAAAAACCTATCTAAGAACACACGGGTGTTTGAGGCGAATCACACAAAAGAATCTTTTTATAAATAAGTGCACATTATCAATATTAAGTATAGTGCGCAGCACTACGTCAAGCCGCCATCTTTGTGCCAGACTCAGTTTGGGTTTACACGTTTTTTTCGTAGGTATGTCATGTCCTTTCTTTCTTCTCTAGTCAAAGGTCTATACTACTAAGAAATTCAGGACTTCATAGGCGTGATTTTACTGACAGCTGTCGCAGAGATCAAGCTATCTTTTATGAACTATAGAGTTCTTCTGCGCCGTTTTTTTTCTTTCAAGTTTGGATATAAGACGTTATTGCGCTAGAAAACTCTGCGCATACTGCGCATCTCGATATATTAGGAGACCTTAGGTAGAGAGATACCTTCTCCTTTGAGACAATTACAGCTCAGAGTAGACAAAGCAAACAAGGAAACAAGTCACAGCACATCATAGTTCGTGCATCGTTTGCAAGGGAATAGATTTTAAAGCGCGAAATTTTAAAAGTATCGTTGAATCGGCCATCAAATATCGCCGATACCGATATATCGGCAAACTTTGAGTATCGCCGATATATCGGTATCGGTATTGGTTCTGGTTGCATCCCTAGTTTTTATGCATGAAAATTCACGCCTAAATACTGAGGCCGTAATTTTCGAATACCTTCGAGACGTTGAAATCAATGCTATGTGATGACCAACGCGCTCGACCGACTTAAGTTCCATAGAGCATGCATGAGATAAGCTTGGAAGACAAATCAAAAAATGAAATCCTGCCCCCGCGAAGAGAGATCTTACAAACACAATACAGAAAGAATGGAACGCAATCTCCTAAGACTTTATTGATAACTTGATTAGGAGTATGCCAAGGAAACTGGAAGTAGTTCGATTAGCTAGAAGGGGCAATACTAAGTATTGATTATAGCCCAGGTTTAGCCTTTCCTAAGCATTCATGAAAGTAATTAAAATATTAAGTACAAAAGGTTTTTTACTGTGAAATTTTTCTTTTTCTTAACTTTATTTTTGTCATACGGTCGTTTGTTTTTTTGACGTTCGTAGTTTAAATGAACTAATAATAAGCAAAATCTAAATTAATATACTTACTTAATTGTCACAAATATCCGTAATATTTTGTTTTTACACACTTTTTTACGTTCCGTTTCATTTGTCCATGAGTATTGTTACGAGTTTGAGGTTCGTGACAATAAAAACTGCCGATTGAATTACCGAAATTAACACTTCAATTCACTTTACACTAATTAAAATTTAAAACACTAATAATTAATCACACTGATTCACTTTATTCCGCTCCGAAGCTTCGCTTGTCTTGCCAAATTCAATACTTCCTCGATCGCACCTTGCAGCACCTATAAATACACATTAGCACCGAAACACCCAGAACATTCAAGTAAATACGCGCACCAATCGACAAGGAGCCGAAAGTTCGAGTGTCGGCTTCTAGAAGCTTAGTTCTTCGTTTCGACACCAGATGGCGCTGTCGGCTGAAAGATTAGTGATGTCATTTTCTGCAAAGCTCCCCCCGCTCTCGTCCCTGACACTACATGACGTCAACTTAGGCGCGCAACAGTATATTAAATAATTAACATTTCATTATACATATCCACCCATATTTCATGTAATTTAATATTATTATAAATAATGCGTTAATCTTAATGACCCGTAAATACCCCGCCTTTCGGAAGCAAAGATGGTTTACGTCGGGCTCTTCGCAACTTACTTAAAATCCCAACTCCGCACAGGCGATAATTCACGCACACTTTCGAGGCGACAATAGCGTTGGCTATCCAGCTATCCGCTAGAGACAGCGGCGCATCACATCTACAATTCTATCCTCGCGCTTTATCAGTGAGGAGCCCCAATCATTATTCAGAACGGTAAGGATGTATAGCGCTAGCGGATTGCCATACTTAATATTCTCTCAATCCGCAACTTCACCTTAGCAGTGCACTTGGCGCAGACGAAATGGTTAATTTCTCAGACATGCAGGTTTCCTCACAATGTTTTGCTTCAGCGTCAAACACGTCGTAGACCGTAAAATTTCTGGGGTGCCTGCAGAGATAAAACTCCGGTGTTTTTATTAAAGGGAGCGGCGACCGGCTGTTTGAATAAGAATTATGAACGAAATTTATTTATAGGTTTTATATTGTAAAATAACGCTTTTGTGTCATAAAGGTGCACTTATAAATTTAATAAAATAACCATTTTATTTTATCAAAGGGGTCTTGTCAGGGACTTTTCAAATATAAAATCTGTATATTTTAAAATTTATTTTATAATTAAAAAAATACAAAACATCCACATATGTATATCCTACAAACATACTTGTCGCATTGTTTTTATTTGTACCTTTGTTCCTCTGCCAATTTTAATAACATTTATTCTTGTTATGAAACTTATATAAAATAAAGAGATTACATTTTACGTTACATGAAAGTCAAATATTTTTTCCATATATTTACTTCGTCGAGATTTCATGACGCATTTTATTAAAAAATAATACACAATAAATCTTGAAAATGTCATAGTAATTCATAAAAGGTCTTGTATCTTATGTGCACCAAGCATTATATATAATAAATAATCAGTCATCATCATCATATACACTACTGTCCAATGCTATCCCACAGCTGAACATACCCGTAGCCGTAGCAGATTGACATAATATAGCATAGTTCTGGGCCACCACAATTAAATAATCGTCATATATGTTTCATCCTGGTTCAGCTGGGTTAAAATAATTAAACTTGAAAAAAAAGTTAAAGTCAACCTACTAAGTATTGTACATTTTTAGGAATTAAAGCCTTGACGTCAAAAGCAATTAAATTAATTATATAATTAATTATAATTTTATAAGTCTGTTCGGGGTTTACCTTTTTTTAAAGTTTAATTATTTGAACCTTTTGAGTGGACTAAGCAATATCACAACCTCAGGTAACAACTACAATGTTGTGCAAATAGTTATATTAAAATTTTATCCCTTATATTTCCACTCTTGGGGTGAAAATTAATAGAGTCATATTAGAGAAGATACCGAATATCATGCATACAAAAAATAGAGTCGAATTAAGAATTATTGTGATTTTTTTTTGAAGTCGGCTAAAAATAGAAACTTTAGCAGGAACGAACAGGTGAAAGACGCCTTTAATATTTCTTTCAAAGATAACAGTAAGGTACAACTATAACACCTTACTATATAGCAGTGTTCAATAATTTAAATTTTAACCGACTTAAATAATTGATTAAAACTACTTTTACGGATTTTATCGCGTTTTATTTATTTTATTTTTAATACCCGACGTTTCGGGAAGCATCAACGTTCCGGGAAGTCCGCAGTTTGCGATCATATCCTAGATAGCCCCAACCATTACATCAGATTTGATAGACCACAAATCCTCGCGAAAGAACATCGATTCCTACCAAGGATGATTCGTGAGGCTATTGAAATTAAAAAAAACATCCTAATTTCAATAGAGAAGGAGGCTGGGTACTACCACCTGCTTGGGATCCTATAATTAATAAAATTAAAACTAAGCCCAAGCATACCACTGCAAGACTTCAAAACACAGTTAGTTCATTCTGCGTAGATCGGACCAAAGACGATAATTAAAAAAGCTGAAGGTACTCCGGGTTAACTTTGACATCGGGACGTCAGTCACCTCAGTCCCCCGTGACCATGGGTGCTGGAAAGCACCCGAAACGTCGGGTATTAAAAATAAAATAAATAAAACGCGATAAAATCCGGAAAAGTAGTTTTAATCAATGTACAGTGTTCGCGTAAATATAAGAAATCATTACGACTTAAATAATTTAGTAACATTTTTTTTTTAAACGTGTTAATACAATAATATATCTGAATTCAGCTTACCATTTAACTAATTTTATTTACTAATAGAGTATAGTTAGGTGCTTTCATCATGGTCCCATATAACAAATATATTAATTTAAGTCGGTTACACAACGACCACGCGTTACTAAGTATTCACTGACATTAATGACACTTGGCAATTTTGTTCAAACTACAGTATTTTTTTAAATAGCTATGCTGTTTACATTACTTATACTGTAAAAATCACTGTCCTAGTGATGGGACTGGTTCACGACAACAATCGAATGGCTTACCTCATGATTCTGAACTTCTCAGTACGTATTCTGATGGTGTTTACGTTTACGAGAAGATTTCATCAATTTCGTTATAATACAGTAATACAGTTATACCGGCCGTTATCGTAATGGAAGATTATGAGAAATACGACAATAACTTGAGTAACTTTTGACAGGCAACTAAAACTTTCAAAATTTTACATGTCTTAGCTGTACTAATTTTTAAATAACATAACTAATATAACTTTCTTCGCCGGGCACTCTGGGTATGGGAGTGCCCACTGGTAATTTCTGCCGCCCAGCTATCTATGTTAACATGTAGTTAGGTGGCGTGTAGCACGGTGTGTGTATAGGTGAGCAGCTCCAACGCTTTTGAAGAATGCGGCTCTCGACGAACTTGTTGCAATGCACTTTTTCAGCGATCAACATTCCAGTGCTCTGAGGCACTAATTTCGCCTGAGAGAACAGTTTACACAATATTAATGTTTGTATTACACCACCATAAGATAGTCCATCATCGCATTACGTCCTGTGAGTGTCGTAAGCGGCGACTATGGTATAAGTCAAGAAGGTCTCAGATAGGTGGCCATATAACTATTCCTTTACGCCAGGCGTGAAATTCCCAGACCGAAGACGGGAAGGAGCGTACAAATGTCGTAAGCGTATAATGCCAAATTATTAAAGCATTTTTTTAATTACCATATAAATGGGATAAAAATATTTTCTAAAAATATTATTTGGATTTCTATTCATTTGTTTACATAATTCATATATCTTTTATCATACCTTGCTCGAAAGTTCGTATTTCGACCCCACTTCCAGGGATGTAAATGCCACATTGCTTCCCGATTCAACGACAATAATTTAGTATGAATGCGTCAAATTTCTCAGGGACGAAAGTGCGACCTTGCCTCCCGATTAAATGACGTATTAATTTAGTACGCATGCGTCAAATTTCTAGCCCTATTGTTTTTAAACGTCTAAAGTATATGTTATAGGTGTCCAATAAATAGTACGACATAGTGCGGGGATAATGGCTTGGATCAATATCTACTAAAACAACACGTATTACCGCAGTATCGTTTTACCTTATCCTTCGAGATGTCAATTACAGACCGGCCAACCGGTTGGCCGTAGATTATGTATTATCGAATATGTAATTCAAATCGTACTACGGCCGTACTACATTTCGAATTCAAAGTCACATTCCTTGCATTTAATACAAAAGCCCCCTTTGAACTAAATAGCATATTTTTCATTATTTTTAAAGAAAATGGATAGGTATTGTATCTTTCCAGAACCATCATCGAACAAGCTAGTAGAGACTATTCACGAATAACTTGATGTAAAAAATACTAGAAAAGGAATTCCTTCTTCATTACGAGATGCTTAAAATTTTGATTCAACGTTGAGATTTTTCGATATTTAGGAAAATTTAGTATAACTGTAAAACCGTAACGTTTTGCAGAACTTTATATTGTGATGTTTTGGTAGATATTGACCCAAGCTATTACCCTCTTCGCCAATCTCTAGCTGGCTTGGATTGCAACATTTTTTGTTCACATCCGACTTTCAATGTGACTTTGCGCGCTCGATACAATATTTAACATCTGGATGGATTTGTTAATGATAAGTTGGGTGTTGAGTGATCAGAATTATTACCTATATTCGTAGACAAAGAAACCTATAGACCAATGATTGGCGTGGCCTCGATCAGTCGTACGTTTCTCACGAAAGGACGATAACGAATTTTAGGTTATACAATAATCTTTATGATTTTAAAAACATATTTAGATAAAAAATTTAATTGTTCTAAGAACTGAATTGAACAAGATTCAGCAATCTTAAGCTCACAAAACACTTTTTTCTCACTTAAACCAACTTGTAAACTCCTCAGATCGCTACGAACTATCAAAGTTGTTTAGCAAAGTGTAGTTTGCTAAACAAAAAAAGCAGCGCGGAGAAAGGGACAAACAATCACACCGCTCTGTCTCATTTTTATGCAAGACGTATGCATAAATCTATCTTTTTCGTGTGCGAATGCGAAAGAAGGCGTCAATTTGTCTATAGGTTTCTCTTTCTACGCCTATATTACTTAAATTTAAATCGAACTTGGTCTTATAAAAATAGTATACGCACTACTGGAGAAAAGTATGACATAGCAACCCGCGTTCTTATCATAGTGGCGTAATATACTATTTCAAAGAGTATCCAAATTTTATATTTAAGTTTAAATATATAAATAATGATATACCGTTATTGCAGTTTTTGAAAATACGAGTAAATTGAATTTATAGGCAACTTATTTGTGAGCGATTCGGTTTTACCAAACGACCCTTACGAATGTACGTTAGATATTTTTGAATGACAATCAGTTAAAATAATGCATCACCACGCATTCTGAATGTAAAAGATAAGAAGGACAGGATGTTCGAGATTTCCTTAATTCAGTTTTTTTTCATCATTCGCCTTTATTGCAGCAAGTGTCAAATACCTACATGATTGCTATGTTGCTCGCTCTCTCGGATTAAAACGCTAATTTGAACAGACGCGTATTATTTTGCTACACTTATTATTTATAAATCATGTGTTGTGGTCGAATTTACTTATCTGAATCTTCTCTGCAAATTTGAGCGCATAATGCAAAATAACCCTGTACTCAATATTTATTACCATTATAAAGAAATAAACTAAAACTAAAAACTTAAACCATCATACAGTCCTACTCCCCGCGGTATAATGTCGAGAACGCCGTCTACGTTTCCTTGTTGAATGGATATATTTAGCCTTTGTTCGAGAAAAGAACCAGCGCTCTTATCACCAGCAGAGACGACGAGTCATGTATCAGATTAACTGTTCGAATTTTGACCCCAGATTTAGGTTCGAAACTATTCAAAATGTAAATATTATGCAGTTATTATTTTTCTATTTAATGATATACGCAAAATACATTGTTCCCCGATAGCCATTAACTTGTATCATCATCATCATCACCAACTTGTATGTTATAAAATTTTGAGATCGGCTGCAGAATAATATAAGAAGTATTAAAAGAATTGTGTGTGTGAATGAGTGAATTGGCACTGTTCATATATTGAATACTAATTATAACTTACTAATACTACCAGTATTTGAACATCAAATTACGTATTATTAATATAAAAATTAAACATACTTGTGCATACGATAATTCTGTAATTTGATTTTAAACCTGGAAAGGTGAAAATAAATTATGGTTTAATTATAATATCATCATTGTGGTAGCTCAGATGGTTAACGCTCGCTGAAAATATAACAGAACGCGAGTAACCCGGGTTCGATCCCTGCCGGCACCAATGAAATTGCTAAGTGAAATTTTAAGTGCTGATTTACCACCTGCTCGGCGGTGAAGGAAAACATCGTGAGGAAACCTACATGTCTGAGGAATAAGAAAAAAAATATTTCGAAGATATGTGAAGTTCGCCAACAGTCATTGGGGCAGCGCGGCGGACACTTGCTTGTCCTAAAAACCCTCTCAGAAATGTGGGGAGGCCTGTGCCCAGCAGTGCGACGTATATAAGCTGCAACTTTAACTTTTTATGATATTATTGTAAAAACGGAAACGATAGCATCGTTACCAAATGATATCTAAACGTAATTAAGAAAGAGTATTTCTATTTGTAACATTGCTCTCGTGTTTGTGGCAGTCGCGTTATGGTCATTGGGCGAGTAATAAAATATTTATGCATTAACGAGTAAGCAGGCTTAATAGGAAAATTAAATGTTTAAATACCCTATGATTGTTAGCAGCCAAGGCCCAAACGGCTCGAGCTGCCAACACCACTTCCGAAATGTTGCCAGTCAGCAGAGCAGCTGATAGGATTTCCAACAGCTCCGCTGAAATTTTATAAATAAATTAACCAGTGACATAGAATTCATTAATATGAATGCTAGCTGGTATAATATTATAGTAGCCAACCTACCAGTATATTGTTATAAATATTGAATACAGTAAGCACAGTAGTAGAAAGCCTATTACACCAGGCGGTATTTTAGCGCACGACGTAAAGGCTTTTAAGACAGCTTAATTGTTTATTTTTTTAAACGAGTAAAGAAAGAACGAGGTTTTATGTTGCACCTTAAGCTTGTTAAATTGTTTATGCTCAAATACTCAAACGTTGCTTTTGCACTTTAAAAGTCACTTTACAAGTCAAAGTTACTGTGAACCCACGGGACGAAACGACATCTTAAAATTGAGTAGCGTTTAGATATTTGGCCATAAATTTGCTAAACAAGTATAAAAATTTTACTTTTAACGAAATGTAAAAACCGACTTTAAAGATCTTCTTCGATACACTATGTCTAAGCTCCGTCGTTAGAAACAATTATGTGGAAAGTATTGAATTTTGTATTAGTTGGCCAATTGCTTTTTATTCATCATCATAGGACACACATTTCTGCCACTCGGAGGCAAAGAGGAGCTAATATGTCCGACTCGCACCGACCTAAACTCTAATAGTATTCTTGTTTCAGATTTGCCACATATCGGCAGGTCTTCCGGAACTTTCGGACAATGCGAGTTGCCTCTTGGCGGTCCTTCCTCTTTATGGCATCTGCGTTCTGCGATATCTCAGCACCAAAAATCGGTATTGCACTTACCCATGGGTGTAGTAACAGGTGACAGTAATAAAATAGAAGATGGGATCTTCCTGATAAAAATAAAAAAATATTGCGGTTGCTATGCCACTAGTTAGGCGTGGTAACTATAGTATAAGATAATCTATGGGGGAGGTTTATGTTCAGCCATGGATTCTTACAGGTACCAATGATGATGAATGTTGATGATAATTACACGTCAGTTCTCACATTAGGAAACGACGAGTACAACTATGTTGTGGTTGTTGTATGGATGGGTCGGCTAGACCGGGGTAGAACCACGCTCTCACAGAATAGCAACGTAAAGCAGTTTAATGTTTGCTGTGCTTCGTATGGTGAGTTGAGATAACTGGAGACCCTTTTTACTGGAAACGAGTCATTGCATCTTAGTACTTAGGGGTGACAACGCATCTGCGTGGACTGTTAATTAAGGATGTAAATGTGTATGGAACACATCATACATTTACTATCAGATGGACTGTGTGCTTGTTTGTTACTCATACACTATAAAAAATCATTTAGAGACGATGTATCCGTGTAGTAGCAGTGTAAGAATATCCGTTAACCCATATCATCCTGTGGCTATCGTAAGAGGCGACAAAGGGAAACAAATCAGGAGATGGGCAGCAGCGTGTTCTTAATACAGACTAAAAATAAAAAAACTGCGGTTACCAATCCTTTTGCCAAGCGCGTCAACTATGAAAAATATCACCCCATCAGGTAATCTATGGAGGAGGCCTGTGTTCAGCAATGGATTTTAATAGATTGTAACGGTAACGGTGTAGATATAGATGGACTTACGAGAATGCAGGAAGGCGGCGCGGTGGTGGTGCGCGGCGTTAGCCAGCGCGGGCAGCAGGCGCGCGGCGAGCCCGCGGCTCGGCGCCCCCGCCAGCAGCACGCCGCCGCCGTCCGCGTGCCGCGCACAGCCGCACCCACTCCGCCCCCACCCCGCCCTCCGCACCCCGCACGTAACGCCCGCCACGCGACCACGCCTTGTTCATGCACGACATCACCTCGCTCTGTAACAAATTCCTCTAAATCATCGCATATCGCGAGAATACTCACGTCATCCACACCCTCCAAACGCTTATATGAGTAGACGAACTCTGCAGCTTTAATACTTTGCGCACTAAGTAAAGGCTAATTCTTCGTAACTTCTTAGTCAACTGCGAGCGGGCAATGGTTGATGATGCTGTCATTCTTTATGTGCACTTTGTTAACATGATTTATTAAGTTTTTTTTTTATGGAAAATATTAGAATTATATATAGTTGTCAATTTTATAAACCACGAACGTTGTTTCCGACAATCTAACACTGATTTCATTCGAAATTGCCGGACTACACATAAAAATCTTCGACACCATATGGACACTAGGCAGTCCACCACTGTGGAATCTTTTCGCAGATATTTTTCCGGACCGATACAACTTAGCCCTTCAATCCCGTTTAAATCCCCAAGCGGTCTAAAAATCTATAGACTAACTAACTTTTATTTCAACCACAGGATAGAGAATTTCGTATATCGATAGAATCTCCATAATGCCAAACTTCTTCATAGAAAGGTAGTCTCTAAACATAAGTTTTTATGGATTAAAGTGCTGTGGGTGGGTGCGGTCGCATGTGACCGCTCGGGGTTTGACGGAATCTGGCGGCGGTCGCATGCGACCGCTTGGGGTTTGAGTGGTTAGAAAACTTCAAGAAACTAATTAACTTATTTATAAAGGCCACCTGCAATTACCCTAGTGCTGCAAGTCATCAGGTGAACTCCATACTCGTTTTCCCTCACTACAATAAAAAAAACATTATTGCATCACACAAGTGAGCACAGACAACCCCTCATTTCTAAGTGATTAATCAACCGCGCTGCTTTAATGCGTGTTGGCGGACTTCACATATCCTCAAAACATCTTATTTCTAATATATGCAGGTTTCCCTTTCATGTTTTTCTCTTACCATTGAAAATATCAGCACTTACATTTTCAATTAACTATCATTGATACCAACGGGGACCTGACTCTTATAACAACTCCACTCAACAGAAAAAAAAATTTATATAGTCTACTGCAGCTCATAAACACCTATCACCACACAAATTTGCACTCACTCCTTTTACTTCGCAAAACCCCAAACGTCTCCTGCTGGATATGGGCCTCAGCCTCTGTAGGGAGGATTTACCTTAATCGCTAACGATCAGAAATACTTGAGGTCTTGTATAGTATGTTATACGAATAACGTTACCGAGATGTTTTTTTTATAGGATAGAGTGACAAATGAGCACACAGTCCACCTGATAGTAAGTGGTTGCTGTGGCCCATAGACATCTACATCTATCCTCGATTAATAATCAAAATGCAGATGCGTTGTCACCCGTGAGGACTAAGATGGAATGCCTCGTTTCCAGTAAAAAGGGTCTCCGGTTCTCTACATTCAGCATACGACAGCAGCATTAAGCTACTGTTTCACGCTGGTATTCTGTGAGAGCGTGGTCCTTCGCCGGTCGAGCTGACCCATTCGTGCTACAACTACACTTCTAATATAACTGCAGCATGGCTCTAACACGTAGAGAAAATTAAGTTAAATTGTTATCTGTCGGTAGCCATAAGATCTCTCTTGTATATTCCATAACCGCATTGCAAATTTGTATACAAAGGTTTATTATTATAATATTAAGGAATTCATGAATGATAATAACCAGAGGCCCGTCTGGCTACATTGAATGTATGTGGAGCTATGAATGATAAAATGGATGAAGTATGCGATATGATGTATGATAGAGGAATAGATGTGTTATGTGTAAATGAGACGAAACGGAAGGGGAAGGATGTCACTACACATGGCATGTATATACATATAATAAATTATGTATGAATGAATTAGACTTGGAGAATGTATGGCAAAATGTTAAGAAAAGTTTAGTGGACGCAGCTACCGAAGTATGTGGTGTTAGTAAGAGAAAGAATGAAAGGAAAAATAATATGTTATGGTGGGACAATGAGATATGTATGGAAGTTGAAGCAAAGAAGAGAGCATGGCTAGATTTACTAGCAACAAAGGCTGGTAATTCTAGCGGTACGAATGATGATATTGAAAGAAAAAAGGCAGTCTTTAGATATCTTAATAAGAGAGTAAAAGAAGTAGTTGAAAGGAAAAAGCAAGAAAGAATAGATAAGAATGATAGAAGAATATCGGGTAACTTCCAGGCAAATACTAAAATGTTCTTCTGGAAACTCGTAAGAACTGCCAGGGGACATTCAAAACAGCCTATAATAAATGCTATAAGAGATGAGAATGGCTATATTCTGAATGATGAAGTTTTGAGTTTAAAGAGATGGAAGGAACATTTTGAAAGCATTTTTATGAGTGAGGACATATAAAATAATTGAAGTAGAAACTCCGAAAGAAGAGGAAAGAGGTAGCGAGATAAGTATAGATGAAATAATGAAAGCAATGAAAAGCATGAAAGCAGGTAAGGCTGCCGGATATGATAGAGTTTCACTCGAAATACTAAGGGCTGGAGAGGAAGTGGTGGCAGGCCTGCTGCACACCTTGTTTAATTTATGCTGGGAATTGAAGCGGGTACCGGTAGACTGGTGCAAAGCTGGTGATAGTCGGAGTATATAAAGGAAAAGGGTCGCAGCAAGACTGTAAAAACTACCGCGGTATCAGCCTTCTTAGCATTGTCGGAAAACTGTATGCTAAGGTACTGATTGAAAGGGTCATGAAAGAAACTGATGAAAAAATTTGGGATGTGCAAGCGGGATTTAGAAAGGGAATGGGATGTACAGATCAAGTCTTTTCCATGCGCATGATCGCGGAAAAGTTTTTGGCCAAAAACCAAAAGGTTTTTTGTGCGTTCATGGACTTGGAAAAGGCCTATGACAGAGTGGATAGGGATGAGCTATGGCAAACACTGAATTCATTTGGGTTGAGCGCTGGCTTGATACAGGCATTGGAGTCGCTTTATAGGGACTCTAGTGCTTGTGTTAGGATCAACGGGGTCTACTCGGACTGGTTTTGCATCCATAAAGGTGTCAGACAGGGCTGTGTTGCTTTACCATGGCTGTTCAACCTATTTATGGACAGTTGTTTGCAAAATTTGAAAGTTGAAGCATGCGGATTAAGAATGGGTGAGTTAACCGTCAAATGCCTTCTGTACGCCGATGATCAAGTTATCCTTGAGTCGTCGGCGGCCGAGCTGCAAATGATAGTTACATTAATGAACAGATCATTAAAAGAAAGGGGTATGAAAGTGAAAGAGCAAGTAAGACGAAAGTTATGGTTTTTGAAAGAGAAGAAAGTAAGACGATATGTGAAATAAGAATAGAAGGGGAGTTGATCGAGCAAGTAGATGAGTTTGTATATCTGGGTTGCGTATTTAGCAGGGATGGGAGATGTGATAAAAATATAGAATGACGAGTGAATGCAGGAAATAGAATAAATGGGGCCCGACACTATATTGTGAAGTCAAAATATGTCGAAAAAGGCATGTATGGCAATTCACAATGCTGTATTGGTCCCTACTTTAACATATGGTAGTGAAAGTTGGGTGTGGCAGAAGAAGAACGAGAGTAGAATGAACGCAGTAGAAATGCGGTCGTTAAGGAGTATGTTAGGGCTGAATCTGAATGACAGGGTAAGAAATTGTGTAATAAGAGAAGAGTGTGGTTTGCAAGATGATGTTGTGACCAGGATTAAGAAAGGAATGCTTCGGTGGTTTGGTCATGTGGAAAGAATGAATGAGGAAAGAGTGACAAAGAAAATTTATGTTGCAGAAGTGAATGGCAGAGTTGGAAAGGGACGTCCTAGGCGAAAATTTATCGACCAAATTGGCGATTTATTGAAAACGGGCCAAATTAGGAGTACCCTTAACCGACGAGCATGTATGCGTAGGTGTATGGATGTGAAGGAGGCGAGAGAGGTGTCAGGATCGTGCCAAATGAAAGTCTGTAGTCTCTGCCTACCCCTCTGGGTGACAGGCGTGAGTGTTTATGTTATGTTATGTAACAACCTCTAGGAAGGGTGATCGCTACCAAGCTATTTCTAATTTGTTTTGTGTTGTTAATTGTAACATACATGATTGTAAGCTGTTATTTAAAAAAATAGTCACGCTGGGTATCTTGCTCGTTCTTCCCAGGACAGGGCTTTTTTCCGAACCAGTGCTAAATTAAAAAAGTTTTTTTTTTATATAGGATAGGGTGACAAACGAGGTTAACTGCGCAAAAGTTATGGAGCAGGAAAAAGTACGCTATGTAAACTGGGTAATTGACGTCTCTTATTATAAAATACAACATCTTATAATATGATTTTGTTACTTTATTTAAGATCTTAAAGCTTCGTCGATTTTCAGTTTGAAGCTTAACGTATATAAATCTATATTTATATTTCATCAAGTTTTATTATAAGGAAATGACGCCATTTATTGGTATTTCAAAAGACATATAAAGAAAAAACTCACCTTTAGGACAGTCGTTAGTGAAGGCGATTAACAAATGCAAGATAGTGTTTCTTAATTGTATTGTCATCATGCACGAAGACCACAACCTGTTGAGGCTGTCTGTTAAGTTATCAGCAAAACTCTCCTTAGCAGACTTACATTCTAACATTGAGCAGTTTATTGTTGTGAGCAACCAGTACAAAGTATTCAGAGCTGGATCCTAAAAATGTAAATATTATTACGACAAAAATTATTTACCAACAAAATTACTGTAAATACTGTTAAATTGAAATTATATGATTATAGATATGTAATAATGTAAATAAAATTATTTTAGATATTTATTTCCCTTGTAAGGAGAGTTGGTCTCGCATGGTTTGCAACACCGCTAACGAAACAAGCGGGAACTGGCGGTGAACGCCATATAACCGACTACACGAACTGACCTATAGTAAAGATGAGAGACAGGAACAAACTCGAATCTAAAGGTTATCAGAAAAAGTTGTTCTTATTTTAACACTAATTAGCTTGACCAGTATGTACGTACTACACAACAAAAACAATTAAGCGCATGGCAGCTAAGCTATTAGTGGAACTAGGGATGGCAACACCAAATCAATGGGCCAGATTATATTATTTTGTGGTTTTATATTAATGTGGGTAGTATCTAATATCTACCCACATAAACATTCTAGTAAAATAAATAATATCCTCCATTGGTTATGTATTGTATATTTTTATCTAAATATTCAAAATTAAAAAATCTAAGGGAAGAGATTGAAGAGTTAGCGATCTTGATTGATATTTTATTCGTAATCGTTAGAGGAATCCAACTCTTTAAACTCCAACATATCTCCGAAATCATTAATGAGTCGGAGTTATGACTGCCATCGTACACATTTATGAAATCTCTCGCATTTAATCTCTTATAAGCCTTACATTTCCCAATAACTCCGCTCTAATCGTTCACATAATCACAAACATAATAACGTCAGTTTGCTGCATTGTACTAATACTTTGTTTTATAATAAATTCAGTAGTATTAGCAAGGTGTTACAGTAAACAGTGTTTTATTTTAAATACTACAGTCGTGGCAGTCTTCAACGGTATACTTTACTCTTGTATTACACTGCCTTACATATTTGCATAGTTACGCACACATAGACTATATGGCTTTCCTATTTAGTCTTTTGATGTGCCTTTCCTTCTATACGACATTTTTTACATATGTATACATACTACGCAATAATGAAAATCTAGATGAATTATCAGTCGGCAGCAAGTATACGAATGAGTCATATGGTACGACCGCACATCACTAGGGGAAGCGCGGGAACAGAGGAGTGGTCTGACGCCGAAACCCGATCCCTGGTTTCCTATGGTCCTGGTCCTAATGGTTTTGGTCAAGTAGTGTGAGAAAGATATTATAATACAGTTTTAACCCACTCCGGATGTCTAAATAATCAGGATGTTTGCAGGCATGTTAACTTTTCTCACTAAAAATTCTCATTAGGAGCATCACAGCTCGTGATCAATGCACGCTGTTTATTTATTTTTTTACCCTTATATTAATAATTTTATTTCTATTATCAAAAAAAAACATATACACTTGAGAGAACATAACACAAAAAAGGAGTTTGTATAAAGGGCGGCATTTTGGAAATGAAAGTCTCTTTCAGTTATACCAGTACCAGTAAAAATCTCAAAAAACTTGGTACTCAGCTGATGTTGCAAACTTTTGATTAAAATGTTATGAACAATTTTCTTTGGGGGGGGCCCATAGAAGATTTACCTATTTTAATCCTTTAAGATACTTCGGAAAAGGAGTGTTGGGAGTTAGGGTGGGATTATATAACAATATTATTCGGTGTTTTTTCTTAATTAATTATGATCATCAGCGTCAACAAGTCCACTGCAGGATATAGGCATGAATATGTACCCATACTGATTATGCAGGGCAAGGAGAACTGCTGTTCCGTACACAAGTCTATAGGAATCAATTTCAACATAAATTATTATTTGCCAGCATGTGTTTTTCCATCCAACTAGAAGGTTCCTATCCGAGTACAAGTTTTAATTTGCTTTTGTTAAGCTATGTCAGTGTGCATTACCATCTTCAGCTGCATCACCACTTACCATATAATATGATGAGATGGAATAGTCGTCAAGCACTAGCTTCGAATGGTAAGAAAGGGTCGGCTTTAGTAATCTGCTGCACGATTTAAGTGATCATTTTAGCTTTAGTTGATAGGTAATGATGCTATTGATTACCATCTAGCTGCTTTTTATGCCGGAAATCCTTAGTTTTCGAGATATCGATAATTTTAGTTTTGAGGTTATGTCCATTTAAAAATGATATGAAACGAAATAACAACATAATTATTTGATCATTTTAGCTTTAGTTGACAGGCAATGACACTATTAATTATCATCTAGCTGTTTTTTTATGCCGGAAATCTTTAGTTTTCGAGATATCGACAATTATAGTTTTGAGGTTATATCCATTTAAAAATGATACAAATACGAAATAAGAATATATTTATTACAAAGAGATAGCAATAGAGCATGGTCTGTACTCTGTTTTAAAAAAAAATATGCAACAAGGACATAATTATTAGAAAGAGATAACAATAGTATATTGTATGATCTATTAATCTATTTATAGTGCTATCCTACTCTAACATACGATGTTAAACCACGTATTGTTTTTTAGTCACCATCCATTCCACTTTCGCCTTCGGACTTTGAATGTTTTGCGCTCATTTTTTGCTCCTAATTCTTGACCCTTGCTCGATTATCGGACCTCCGTTTACCGCCTGCTCTATTTTTGACCTCTGCTTGTTTCTTGGACCTGTGATTTGCCTTGACGAAGACCCGTGCTCGAATACCGGACCACCGATTTGCCCTACGAAGACCCCTGCACGTTTTCTTGGACTTTGCCTACCTCTCTGTCTACCTGAGAGACCCAAGATGGCCGACGACTCTACGCCTTCAACTAGTTCGGGCGGTCCGTCGAACGCAAGCGACGCCGCCGCAACGGATGTAGTACCCTTCGCGGAGCTTTATGGTGATTTTGTGCGCAGGCGTTTATATGTGGAAGAAGGAGCTAAATTTTTTAATTTACCCCGAATCGTGCGAGAACTCGGTACCAGAGTACAGTGTGTGGAGTTTGCCATTGAAAATGGCTTAATCCCTGCCACTAAGGAGTGCCGCACCCATAGAGTGCCAATGAAAGTGGTATATGGGCAAAATAAAAATGTGGGCTCCTTTGTTTGCAATAAAGGAAATTGCAGAGCCCGATCCAGGGTAGCTCGTGGCAAGGGCACCTGGTTTGAAAATATTAAAATGTCATTGCCACGGGTATTCTATCTGATGTATTGTTATGCGCATCGCTGGAGCTATGAAGATGCAATCCACGAAGACCCAGAAAAAGATATAGAGGGAGGCTGCTTATCTATGACAACTGTCTGCGATTGGTACAATTACTGCCGGGAGACAGTCGTCATTTACCAAATAGAGCAACAAGAGGCCATCGGCAAGATTGGTGGCCCAGGAAAAGTAGTCCAAATAGACGAGTCAAAATTTGGAAAACGCAAATATAATAAAGGTAATTTGATTTTCTTATATTACAGACTGAAACAATATATTTATAATAATAATATAATGATAATTAAATTTATTTCAGACCTACATATAGTCCATAATATGTTAGTAAATTAGCTTAACCTATGTTAGTCTTAAATTATTACACATTATTTATTTTAAAGTTTACTTTTGAACCCAAATTATCTTTTAATACCTTTTATTAAATATATTTGAATACCTTTTAAAGCCAAAATATCTGGAAGAAATCAGTTTCAGAGTGATAAGACAGCCTGTTGTACATATTCTGCTATAAAATTTTGTACTTTTGTATTTGTTTTTTTTTTTTGTAATTTTGTACTATTGGGTTTTGGTGTACACTGTACAATATAGAGTAAATAATTAATAAATATCTTGAATATTTACTAACTCTAAATTGTTTATTGTTGATTTTAGGAAGGCAGATTGAGGGCCACTGGATCCTCGGCCTCATTGAGGATGGAAATGAGGATTTACGACTAGAGGTGTGCCCTGAAAACATCAGGTCAGCGGACATACTAGTGCCCCTAATTAAAAAACATGTGGTTGAGGGCACCACAATCCATACAGACTTCTGGAGGGCTTATGATTGTTTGGGGCAACATGGGTACATTCACAAGAAGGTGAACCATTCAGATCCTGAGAACCCATTTGTTGCCCCTGATGGCACTCATACTCAAAGAATCGAATCGCAATGGCGGGTGGTTAAAAGATTTTTCAGTAAATACAATTATAACCACCCGGAAAACTTTTCAGACATTATTATAGAATATTTGTGGAGAAGGTCAGTGCAAAGAAAAAAAAGGATCCTTTTATGGAACTAATTAAAGTAATTAACCATGTATATAAATAAATGTTTTTATAATATTATATTTGCTTATTTCTTTTGATCAAACCCTAGTACCAGAAGGTATAAATCACAAAACCGAATCTGTCAACCCCAACTTCCACGTGGTCTTTCCGCTCTTACCCCTAGTGTATATGAAAATCCGGAAGCGCGGAGGGAATGCAGCCCTCGCCCGCTGTAACTAAGCGCAGGCAGCGTACGAGCCGTAGCGGCTGAGGCTGGTCGCCGAAGGCGACCAAACAGCCGAAGCTGCGCAGGTGAGCTAGGTGCCTGTGCTTAGTTACGCAAGGGCGAAAGGGCTGCACTTCCCGCAGCGCTGGAGCAGAAGCAGAGTCAAAATAGTGTTAATTCCCACCGTTTTTCCCACCCTAAATACTGCCACATTCCCACCGGGACCCGAATGTGCGTTTTTCGTCGCCGGACGCCCTTTTTTTATTAAACGAAAGCGAATTTTCCTTAAATGTAACAAAACTTTAAAAATTCATAAAAAAAAAAGGGGGGGGTTTCCGGCACTTTTTCCTTTCAGGGGGGAGGTTCCTCCCCCCTCCCCCCCCCCTCCCCCACCAACTCGGCGACCATATATTCATGCAGCAGATTACTAAAGAAAACCCGTAAAAAAACTTAAGAGGACTGTTACTCTAATACGCCAACAATTTAACCTAACTGAAAATCTTAAATTAGAATGTATTAAGAGTTTATTATAGTACCTTGACTCACTAGGCTCTTCTTCTTATCCAACAGATCTTGAAAGTGGTATATTAACAGTTTACATAGCTCCTCGCAAACATACTTCGGATGACAGTCATCATCCCTTCCCGTGTCACCCGCCCTAGATCTAGCACTAGCTTGTTGGTTGTCGAATTTAAGATCGTTAAAGAAGACTTTACACGTTTCATCACTTGTTTTATCCGCGTGTTTCTTATTTAATGCTGATTTAGTTAACTGAGTCAAACAGTGCATTGCTGCGTCTTTAAGCTCTGAAATATAAAGAAAAGTGTCTTACTTAGACTGCGGAGCACCTACTTTCGGGTTGGGTTTACAATTCGGTCGCCTGAATTTGAAGATGCTGTCACTGTGGGGGGTCAAGGGTGTTTATCTGAAGCACCCCCACTCGATTTTTGCTGCCGGAGCAGCGTCGAAGTATTTTTTAATACTTTTTAAAAATATTGGTAAATGACTATTTACGTTTTTGACGTTTCATCTGTCAATGTCATATCTGGTCATATCAATAAGAACCCTAGAGAATCGAGATCGAATCTTTTTCCGTTTTATTAAGATTTGTAAAATTATTTAAAATTCCATGAATGTACCCCAAGTCGTAAGGAATGACAGTTTTTAATTCAACCATTCAATTTTATCTTTACTTTATTGTATCTTTTGATAGGATCGTCCAGTCGACGGAGCCCCGCAAAGCGGCTGGACTTCCCTCGTCTGCACCACGTTAAGTGGCGTGGGGCTTCCGTCCCCCAACTCTCTCTCCCCATAAATCGGGTTAAAATTGTCATAAAAATTACGAAACATAACCTCAAAAGGAGATTTTTAAAAATTTACAAAAAAAAACCAAGCACTCCGGCAGGAAGGGGATGTAGGGGTGACTCTACAACTCTTCCCCCTCCCCCACACCACCCCCTACCCCCCAATTCAGGCGACCGAATTGTAAACCTTACCCAGTAATACTTACGACCTGGACTGATGATGCCCCGTTTAGAGGCGAAATACGTGTCGTGTTACTATCGGTGATTTTTTACTGCGGTAGTGTTGTTTTTAATTTGGTGGTAAGTGGATGCTGTAGTCCATAGATTTTTACATCTATCCTAGATTAAGAATCAAGACGTCGTGATTCCTAAGAACTAAGATCGAATATCTCGTTACCAATAGTTAGGGTCGCCTATTTATTCTCTACTCACCATACAAAACACAGCTGCATTAAGCTGTTAATTTTCACTGTATTAATGCTTATGTATTTTAGGCTGGGTAGTGGTGTTGGATTTAGTGGTGACTTGCTATTGTAGAAAAGAAGTGCTGTTCAAACTAGGTAAGATTTACAATTTTATTTTCACCAGTATTTAGGCTAACTATCCCGTCAGGGTAAATGTATTCTGTGCTAACTATAGTCAACCGAATCTAAGAAATACCTTTTGACGTTTCACATTAATCATTCAACATTAACTTTGCACAAGCGTACTTACACGATTTATAATAACCTTTTACATAAATTCGAAGAATTATGAAGTTATCTATATTTCATTACAACGTGTATAGTTTTTTATAACTAATTTAAATTCGAATCTTTCAAACAAAGCAAAATATTTTAAAAAATCACCAGTATAAATGATTTTACTTGACGTCGTTTCAATGATGTGTCGCTATGAACCTTACCATAATGTTTGGATAATTAAAATTCATTGTTATGCGAATAATCGGTAAAATATTCAAATAATCGAACCATTAATTTTTTTAATGTATTATTTATCTTAATTAAATTCTTATTTTTATAATTTCTTATGAATCATGAATAAAACAAGTTATTTTCTTTTTACTTTGTCAACGTAAATTTGTGTAGGCAAAATAACTCATATACAAGGCCGCGCTGAAGAAACCACCACGTAATTTCAATCTTCCACCATTTCGGGAGCTTACTATGCGTAATTTTGTGATTTTGTGTTTGTCTTTTTATTTTGTGATTTGGCTTTAACTTTTTGGATAGTTTCTTCTATATTCGTTGAAGCATGTACCCATGTCACAAAGGATGATTGGGAAAAAAGTGTGGGAAAAACAAAAAATCGATTGTGGATGACTTTGAAGGAGACATAACTTTTGACTGCATTATTGAAAATCAAATCATAATTGATCTAAACAACGACAACTCAAGTAGTTATACTGAAAGTGATTGAATAAATATATTTTTAATCTAGTTTCAATCTTAAATTTTTAAAACTGTGCCTCTAGAAATAAGCAGTTACAACAAATACGAAGAAACTGATAAATCTTGTGTTTTAAGCTATCCGTTTTTAATTTATTCTGGTATTATTCAAACCAAACTATAAATGATTACCAACTATAAAGAATCGATATCGATTTTTATAAGAATCGAACATTTTTTGGTTGGCGTGCTTGGTGCAATAAGTCTGACAGCTGTCAAAATGTATAAGATTTGGGGTATGTTCCGAAATACAACGCAGTGTACTGTCCAATGCAAATGACGTCATGAATCGACGCTATACTGGTGATTCGTTCCAAAACATTGGACAGTATATGACGTCATACTTTTGCGCCATTTGGAAAAGTGTTGGCGATTATTTTGTCATTTTGTGCTCCAAAAATCATTATATCCTCCTAATGGATATACCATCAATTATTCTATAATTTTTTATATTTGAATAAATAGAAACAAATTCTGGCATGCTTCATTCGGCAAACACGCAATTAAAAATTGTTTTATTATGGCCGGATATCCGACACAATATGGCGGCGGCACGATAGTACAATAAAGTGTCAATTGATACGTCATTTGCATCTTGCTACATATTTATTTATCTATGATTTGCATTGGACAGTATAAAAGGTTGACACTGCGTTGTATTTCGGAACATACCCTTGGTTGACTATAATTTTCAAAAAAATTTGAATTTTCCTGTGTGCCCGATTCTATTAATTATTTATTGTTTAAATTTGCAATCAATAATAACACAGATTTGTTTGGAAATTACGATACATCTCGTCAGCTATACCTCAAAACCTGAAAACGAGACCATAAAATCAGTGCGTTGTGCCAGTGATAACTTATGGAACTGAGACGTGGTCCTTCACTGCCGGCCGTATGAGGACTCTCAAGGTCGCTCAGCGAGCTATGAAGAGGGCTATGCTCGAGGTTTCTCTGCGTGATAAACTTAGAAATGAGGATATCCAAACCAGATAGTAGAACCAGAGTTACCGACATACCCCAACGGATAAGTAAGGTGAAGTGGCAATGGGTCGACCATATAGCTAGAAGAACCGACAACCGATGGGGAAAAAAGGTTCTTGAGTGGCAGCCTCTTACCGGTAGGTGAAGTGTAGAGCGACCCGCCACTAGATGGAGTGACGACCTGGTAAGACATGCAGTAAGTCGATAGGTGCAGGTGGCTCATGGTCGTGCTCTGTGGCATTCCTTGGGGGAAGTCTATGTACAGCAGTAGGCTTGTGAGGGGCTGTAATGATGACGAAAATAAGACAGATATTGACATGTGGTGTATGTAGTAGTTACAACAACCTTCTCTTTGTCTTCTTCCATTCTTTTTATTCTTTGTAGTACTAGTTGTAAGAAGGGAGGGGATTAAGACAAAGCAGTTTAAATCAATATATCGTAATACTTTATTCTAATATTCAAGGTGTGCCGACTGCAATAATAGTGATTTACGCTCACTAGGAAATCTACGACGCTAATTGTTGTAATTTATAATTGGAATTTCTTCAATGAATGTTTTACATAGTTACCCATAAACAACACTACGCTGTAGTAAAAACGACATTTAGTAACATTATTTAGTTCGTATTAATGTATTTTGTATAAAGTTACAACAAAGAAAACTGGTACCACCGTCATCGCTCTGCAAGGACAATGTCAACAACCGGAAGAACGGCGTTGATTGTCTTTCACGTAGTATTAAGTATTGCTGGCCGCTCGCTCGGACAGCAGTGAAGCAAGTAGCAACATTGTCTGCATACGCGCCGTTAGTTCGTCGCATTCACCTGAAACACATAACTAAATGGTTAACTTTAATGTTGGTAAAATATAGCAATAATATATAAGAATACTTGAAAGTCATTTATGCTGCGCTTGCAATTCCCCTGGTGTTGCAGTCATTCATGGGCGGCGGTAATTACTTACCATCAATTGAACCGCATTGTATGTCCCCTGACGATGTTTTACATAAAATAAAAACATGCTTGAGCTTTTATTTTTGACTCAATTATTATTTTGTTATTTTACTGCAACTCGTTGTTCGGTTTAAAGATGTAAGTCGGTTTGCGCTACAAATTCGGTTTTTGGCAACTAATAAGCATTTATAAGCTACAAGTTCCCCTACAAAAATCATTGATTTTACTGACTTCACTGCTGTCTTGATAGAGCTCAGTTTGAATCAAATCGAGGAAAAGATATCGAGGCCACTTTTGACCAGTAACAACTTCGGAATATACAATCGTTAGAGATCAACTCTATTTTTTATAGGGGAAGAAAGGTTTTCGAGTTGCAGCTTCGCATCAAGAAGTGCAGTGTAAGGAGTTCATTTGCTATATAAGTGACGATTCAAAGAAACATATAACACAGCGTCGATGGGTAAGGTCTATATTTTTTAAGTATGTTAAAGTGAAAAACGGTCCAGCAGTCAGCCTGACCACTACGATCTATGGCTTTGCCAGCAGCCAACTTTAAACGAGAAGACTACAGATGCGCTGTCGCATCCGAAAACCAAGATGGAATGGCTCGCACCCAGCAAATATATTCCGCAAAGTAACGCCTGATTCTATCAATTATAGTACCGAATGTTCTACGGACTTCTTGGCTGAATAACCGAATATTATCCAAAAGTATTCGGCCGGAAAAGAAGTAGTGTTTATTCAGATCGTCTTTTCTCTGAAACTGTGATCGCTCGTTTTGTTGTCTATGAGAGGAAAAGGCGTAAACTACTTTCTGAAAATGCAATGCATTGAAAAACTAGCTCGTGAAATATTAGTCTTGCGCACTAAAATATTCCACTTCTAAATTTTAATTACGATAATTCAAGTGCATACATTTACTTGATAGTTTTTTGTAATTTTTTTATAATACGGAAGTTACATAATCTATGACTACTTTATTAATTACAAGAAAAGTACATTATTATAAAATAACTAAATCAGTATTTTTAATTTACCAATTATCTGACTACAACTAAACATCTTACTTAAGTATTCTTAATAAGAATAGTACCTAAATATTTAGTATTCAACTGAATAGGGTAGGCGAATAACCCGAATACCGAAGAGTAGCAAATATTCGTTGCAAGTATAGAGATATGTAGTTATTTACAATGCGATTCACCTATAAAGTTATTAGTTATTACATGTACACGATACACGACGTAATTTTATCGAAGTACACAAAATTCGGTTAATTAATAATTCCATCTAACTAAAAATCTATATAAAATAAATATATTTCAGCTGCTTTAGTTGACTTGAAGTTAATTTCAGGTGTGGATGAAATGCAGTAGCCACCCAACTAGCACGGTAGCGTTAAAACAACCTGTATATCGTTCGTATATGGGATCCATTCGAGTATCAAAGTGTTAAGAATACCTGTAGCAGCGGTGTTATAGAGTGCTCTAACTCACTTATAACCACGAAAGAGGCCCACGATTTTACAGGTAAAGGTTATAGAAAGCCTGTAGAGCAACGGTATAAAGGTGTTAAAGTACCTACATAAGAGTGTTTATTCATCCTCAGCTATTACTTTAACCGGTATTACTGTGGTTGTAGATGGGTTAGTTAACACTCTGGGACATAGAAAAACGTCGGCTAAGAATAATTTATCACTCAAAACTTCATTAGACCTATTAAAAATAGTTGTTTTACACTTTAACGCGTAATAGTTATATAAAATACTCTCAAGCTCAAGTCTCGTTTGAGAAATCCTATAAACGACATAATAAAATTGTGACAACGAAGAACAGCTTACCGAATGGCGAGACATAATTGACAGAGGAGTTATAATAAAGTGTTCAAGTTATTTTAGTTTGTGAAGTGAAAACAATCAGCCATTGTGATTTTACGGTAAGTGTATACTATGTTTTCCATCTCAATTTTAACGCGCTCAGGATTTGTTAGAGATTTCAAATAAAAGTTATGAAGAATAAAACAGACACCCCAAATTTGTATCATATTTATTCTTGCATCCTGGCCAGTGGCATGTTAAATTAAGTGGCATCAATGGAATAACAAAATTAACAAAAATAATGAAGTATTTTGTTGTCAAATATTGAATAATCCAGTCATCAATTTATAGGTTAGTTTACCAAAACAATGGCGAACTTACTTAAAGCTTTAGGTCTTCACTTAAGTCATCTATTACACACTTTGAGATACAACATCTTTACTCAAGAATATTGTGCAGTCTTTAGTATACTTAACAGTGCAATAATAGACTTGAATAAATATACTTACTATAGCCAAGGCAATACAACCGGCTAAACATTTTACGAACTGGATGGATTAGGGTTCTTCAACGAAATAATCAAAACCTGCAAGTATTAAAAAAAATCACAAAAAAACAATGTTTTGGTATTACTTAAACCGAGTAAATGATTTATATGGTTTGTAAGGTGTCTTTTTATTAGTTCGATTGTAGTATTATACTACACATCATAACAAACCACTTTTCCTAAGAAACATTTATTTTTAAGGATTGTCCAGGTTTCTATAACTTTTACTCATTACAATCGTAATATCTCCTCAGTTCCTTACTCGCAAAATAAGTCAGTCACAGTCACTCAGTCTTACACAGTCGACAAGTGAAAACGGACATCAATGCGTCAGCGGCTCGAGCAGTGTCGTCTGATCATCTCACTTTGATACCCGAAAATAAAACGCGTACAAGGTCAGTCATTCAATAACATTCATTATTTATCTTAACTTAATGTAACATAGAATGTTAGACTATAGGTAGATAGTGTAAGTTGGGACTTGTGCCGAAAGATTTGTTTATTTATATAATATTGTGTTGAAATAGGTGCGTGGAAGTAGGTAGACCTTGTTTCTATGTAGGTATAGATATCTACCATATTGTTTAGCTCATCTTTATTTTCGCCCCTATGACGTGGTACTATTATGTACAAAAACACTATTGGGACAACTTTTTTGTTTTAACTACCCGCGACTTCATCCATATGGCAAATGTGACTTCGGTAAATCCAGTAATACCTAATAGTTTTTAAGTTTCTTAAGCACAAACTAGTAAGAAGTGCTAGTGCAAGTGTTTCTTAAGGGTTGCATATACAACTACGTACAATGTTATGATTTTTTTAATCGCCGATTCAATGTCACTTGTAGTTTCGTAACTATGAAAATTGAAATTATGTAATTGTTTTTAATTATTTTTTATATATGAACGTTCTTATTGGCCACAAATGCTTGCTTTTAGAGCCGCAAACGACATGATCTATGTTTATCAGGTTGTAACGAAATATCTAAGGGATACGTGTGGAGGTGGAGGATAAATTAAAGTTAACAACTTTCACCAAAATGTGGGTCAAAATAAAAAAATAATAATTGGCACGCTATGTAAATTGATGAAGAAAGATTTTCTCTATTGGGACAATTTGTTATACCTTGAGTAATTACGTATATACGTGTTACGTATGTTTTCCGTTGTCTGAATTTGTGTACTAAGTTGTTATTATTATTGTTTCAGCATGCCGTTCAAAGTTGTTCAAACCTTGGAGGGAAAGAAATATAAATTATTTACTATTCCATCGGGTTGGGAATCTAACAATATTCTCAGATATCCAAATAAATGCATATCAAAGTATTTAAAAGATGAAAATTCAACACCAACGCTAGACTGGGACGTAATAAAATGTAAAGTAAAACGGACCGATGTATTAAGCTACGAAAACGGAGAAAAGCTTGTATCTGAAATGCTGAAGCACAGTGATACGGAGGACGATGTCGATAATTATACGCAGCGGCGACGTTCACATAACAAATCTTTAAATCTGAATCCAATAGCACAAGATATGGTAAGAACTACATATTAAATGAAGGTTATGACTTTAGTAGCCTATAAAGAATGAATTAATGTTTTTTAAACATTTAGTCTATTTATTTTTAAACTCTTTGTCAAGTCTTGTTTAATAAAATTTTACCGGCTCTTTTTTGTTTCAGATGGGCAATGTTGTTTTGACTAACCGTAACACAGACATAGCGTCATCGTCCGCTGACTTGCCGATTGAATTAAACTATAACTTAGTTTATACCGAGGATATTCAAGCAAATTCAACAAATACATCTCAAGTCTTTTCAAATGATACTACACCTTTAGTACAGGATTCAGTAAGCTTTGACATCAGTAAAATGTTTGAGAACCAAAAACAAATATTAGATAACCAAGCAACTATTCTAAGCCAAATTTATCAAAATCGACAGCAGCAACTGGATAATAACTCGGCAATTATCGCCCAGATTCAGTCTCTAAAAAATGTGCAAAATAGTTTCATTCAAAAGGTGTCTGCTTTGTCTGTGCAAATGGAAGACGCAGTATTTCAAATAACTTCATCGTATAATCAAGACGTGCAAACTTTAAATAGCAGCAAAGGCCATGTTGAAAATATTCCAATATATGAAAAGCCAGTTGACAGCGCCCAGGAGTTAGATGAACTCGAAAATCAGTTATCGGACCCAAACAATAGAGACTGTTTGAAAAATAGATATTCTATACTTTGTTCTGGAGGTAAAGCTATAGACTGTGCTTATATGCTTGTTGATGTTATGTTTACAAGGGAAATTTATTTGTGAGTGCTCATGGAGTGGGGGCAGCAGAGGTGAAGATTTGAAAATTCCTTTAAAAGGTTATAAACATGTCTTGTCTTTTTTCTGGAATATGGTGCACTATTGGGATCAGGAATATTCTTTAAAAGATAATGAATTATTTTTCAAAACGATTTTGAAAAATGCCAAAAAAAGAAAAATTGCAAAACTTGAAAGAGCTTCAACATCAAGGCAACGTTCGAAACCCAAAAATAATTTGAAACGTATGAAGTTTTCAGAAGAAAATGAGACAAATGTAACTTCTGATAACGGTGAAAGTGAGAATGAGATAAACGAAGAAGAAAACACGATAAATAAGAAGAAAAGAAATGATTCAGTAGAAGAACACACAAAGGAAAATAAAGAAGGCGATGTTATAAAAAATATCTCAAAAGACATCGCCAAATATAATAGTAACGTTATAATTGGAAAGGAGACAAGTGTCTGAAATTGAAGAAAAGGAATCGTTACATTAAGCAATTATAAATATTTATTATATATTATACTATTTCGTTTGATATTCTGAAAACTATGTAAAGATTAAAGCTATTAGAGTATTATTTTTATCTATTTTTATTTTGTCATATGTAAGGCTATAATTGGAAATCGAGACTGATTGAAATAATTACTAGACATTACCGAATTTTAAAAATATTTTTGTAGGTTAATATTTATTATGTAGATCAAGTTAGTAGATATACAATATGTAACTAAAACCCTATCAGGATCATTATTCAAACGTATAGAAATAACTTTTTTTGTAAAAACTCGAACAATATTTTTTTATTTTAATTAAAAAAAATTGTATGCGAATTGTATGTGGTTTTATTACCTCTGCATTATCGGTGGAGTAAGAGGATTGTCAAATACCTCGCTTTACTAAGCTTTAGCATCGGCTAGTGTCAGTAAGAGGCAATAAAACGACATAAAATAAAATATTTTTTTTAATAAAATTTAAAAACGAGTTATTTCTATAGGTTTAAATACTGATCCTGATAACATACTTAACGGGAACCACAGGGTTTTTGTTACGTTGTATATACCTATAGGTGAAAAATATACCTACTAATACGTAAAGCTGTATTATCTCAAAACAATTACTTTGTTAAGTACAACATAATATGTTAAATTGTATTAGTTACCATAGTTAGTTTAGGTATACTTATTTGTTTTTTTATAGCAATCTAAGCTAAAGAAAGCATTTTTAATATTATGATGGATAAATAATATTCTCTTCATTGATTTTTTCATAATTCACATACAGAGTATTTATTTCAGAAAATATTGTGAAAGCAAACATATATTTTGTTTCTAAAAACCATATTTGTACAACAATCTTTTCTTAAATTTTTACTGTTTTAATAAAGAAATTTTCAAATTAAAGTTTGCTTATCATTTGAGTACCTACAGCGTATGTAATAATGGTAGAAAGTATATTATATCTTTATGACTAATACAAACTAATTTACATTTGATTTCATTTGGATTTATTACTATAACATCATCAGAGACAACATAAGGTTCTTTTACTTTATACATACTTAAAAACGATGACTTAATCGGTAAGTCAAATATGATATATTTGTTCAAAATTTTTTTACCACTTATGGTAACCTCTTTTTCACTACCAGGGGACAAGTCTTTTAATTCAAATATATCATCATTGTGAGTCATAAAATATTTATCTTCTGGCTTTAAAGAGAGGACAAAGTTTTTGAAGTGAATTTTACGATTACTTTTACTAGTTATCAAGTAGGGTACATTATTCGTGGTTTTTGCTGTCATCAAAAGATTAATTGTACTTTTCTCACAAATTCTCTTAGCAACTTGTGCCAGAGGTTTGTCACCCTGTCTTAACATTCTCTTGATTAAATATAATTGATTCTCAAATGGATACGCATCGAAGTTGTGAAGAGGGCCAAATTTTTGAACTTCGTCCACAATATGGAGTAAATTATGCACATTACTGGTGATATAATGAGAACCATAGAAATATTTATACTGATCTACAAAATGTTTCAGCATTTCTCTGGCAAGTGGTAGTAAAGTTGTGTAACATTTATTGGAACATATCGCAATAGAGCAAAATATACTCAAAAAGTGTTCAACAACATCAACACGAAGGATATCAGACAATATGATAACGCTTAAATAATAAAAAAAAAATTCTAAATTCACTTGCTTTCCAATAAGCGAGACAATCTATACTTCTTACTGCCCGGTGGATCTCAGACGGTAATTTACAGTTTTTTAAAAATGCCTCTAGGTTTTCAATATCTCGCGCACACAGCTTAGTCATATATGTTCCAAAATTGCCATCTCGCCACCCAATAAGCAGCCTCTTCATTATACCCAGATCTATGAGGTGCAAAGAATCTGCTACTGGAAAATCTTCTACCATATCAATTGGCAATTGTAGTAAAGGAGAATCTATTTTATGATGACCTCCGTAAAGTTTAGCTCTGAAATTTTCATCTGTTCTTGGAGAATCTTTCTTGGTAGAGAAGACTACAGTATGAGATGTATGCGAATATTCTCCAACCGTCGTACACTTTAAACATCCATGTCTTCCGTTAAAATTACATACACCTGAAAAAAGTATGTCACACATTTAGCCAATACAAATAACTTAGAAAATTTGAAAAGATCGCCTTGAAATCTTAGCCTAACTAATTTAGTCAGTACATACGAGCGTTAAAGCAATGATTAAAGACTGAATACAGAACATCACAAAATTTAAATGAAAATTATTCATAAAATAATAATAATAATTCGTAAAATTGACTATACATAGTAATTTAGTTCGTCTATCACGATTATAACAATAATGTTAAAGTTTCAATACGGCCATAAATTAAAAATATTTACCTTTAAGGAATGCCCTTGCTGGAGAATCACAAACAAAACATTTGATTTTTATAGAAACAAGTTTCTCATCTATAATTATTCCATTACTAAGTAATGATTTCATCTCAGTTACAAAATCTTCTAAATATTCTTCTAATATTTTTGGTTTGCCTGTACCATAGTATATTCCAATTGTGAATACATTCCCCTCTGCATTGGCTAATATTGGCCAAAACTCCTTTTTGGCACTCTTAAATATTGGCAGACCGTCAAAATTAAAGATTAAATGAATGCTATTTGGAATGGGCGTGAAATCCTTAAGTAATTTCATTAACGGTTCAGTTATACCATGATGCCAATATTGTCCTCCTTCTATATTTTTAATACAAATTTCTTTTGGAGTACGCAAAACAGTGCGTGGATCTTTCGGAAGTAATAATGTAGTACTAACGTAGCCTTCATTCAAAATCAACACAAGCTGTTTTAAAGCAGTTTGGGTAATATTGTTTCCTACGGACCACGTTTTTAATTGTTTAGTTAGTGCAGTAATTTTTTCAATATCACTAAATTTTTCTTCCTCTTCTTCTTCATCTTCTGACGCACTAAGTGGTATGGAATCGAAAAAATTGTTATTTACTTGTGCTTTTTCTTGTTCTTGTTCTACGGAACCCTGCTGTGCCTCCACTCGAACTTGACCAAAATTACTCGTATTATGGCTATTTATATATTCTCTTTGTAACGAATCTTCTTTATTTTCCGTAATAACTGGAATACCAGAATCTAATCGGATATCATCATAACTAAGTGATTTGTTTGTGTCATTCGTACCATTATTAAGTGAATCCAAAAAAATACGGCATTCCTGCATAATTCTTTTTTTCACTGCGCCTGTTTTCTTTTGTTTACTCCATCTTTGTAATCGTTTCATTTTAATGTAACTTAATAATAATACTTGGTAGAAAAATTTCTTCAGTTCGTAATAAGGTTGTTTATAACAAAAATTATAACAAATCGCAACTTTAGAAAGACTGCTTTTGAGTATTAATATCCATACTTGTCTTGTATAACACCATTACTTTTACAATGTATTTAAAGTGTATATGCCAAACACAATAAGCATTAGTAAAATTAAAATTATAGCTTAAAACTACATAAATGAGTTGTTCAACACTTTTAGTATCTTGTGTTAGTACACTCTTGACAAACTCTATTTTACAACCCATGTCTGCACCTATAGTCAATATAATACCTAAAGGCATATAAGACACTTCACGGCAACAACTAAACAACAATAAGTGTTAACGAGAGTCAGCGAGCACTGTTGTATAGATTTAGGAGCTACAAACAGGTCAAAGCTACAACTTCTTAACTATACTTGCTGTGATTAGCACTATTCTACCTCTTAAAGCAACCTAACATCGTTCATTAAAGTTCTAGAACCACTGTTGGAGCTAAATTTATCTTTTAACTCTTATATATGTCTTTTAGTTAGAACTGAGATAATTATTACTCAGTTAAACAGATTAAAGTTATATTAAAACCTGTAACTGACACCAAAATGCTAGTTGGGCATATACCATACGATGGGTTTATAGTTTGTTTGTCCTTCAAGCTTATAAGGAAATTTGAAGTGCAAATGCAAAAAGTTGTAGCATTGGTGTTTTGTGTAATGATTTTCTTGAAAATAATTATTCTGTTCGTAGCTAAGTATAACAATGCAATAACGCAAAATTGTGCCTTCTTCCGCCGAGGTAAAGGTAAGCAACAGATTGACGAGGCAATCTTTAGTAGCAGCGAACGAAGCGCGCACACCTTTGAGCGACGCGGGCGGCGCCGAGTGCGCGGCACGTTGCGGTGCCGACGCGATCGCTCTCCGGATTTCCGCGACTCCAAGACGCACATCTGTAGTTTGTTGAAAATAGATAAAATTATCTGCGTTAAGTGTTTTGTCTTCAATTAACGTGAAGTGGTAGAACCACGTTGCAGCTTTATTATAGATGTAACACGAATGGGTCGGCTCGATCGGGATAGGACCACGCTCTCACGGAATACCAGCGTCAAATAGCAAATTAATGATGCTGTGTTTCGTATGGTGAGTATAGAGATCCAGAGATCATTTTTCCGGAAACGAGGCATTCTATTATATTCCTCATGGGTGACAACGTATTTGTATTTTGATTCTTAATCGAGAATAAATGTAAATGTCTATGGGCCACAGCATGCACTTACCATCGGATGAACTGTGTGGAACGAGCAAACAATTCATCTGATGGTATATCCCTTATTCTATAAAAATATTCCTATTCCATAGAGTAACTATATAATGTTTATAATATACTTAAAACTAAATGAGTAAATTAGTTGTATATTAAAAAGTATCATCAAGGTATATAAAATAGTATAATCAAGGTATTTTTTTATAAGATTAGGGTGACAAACGAGCACACAGTCCACCTGATGGTAAGTGTTTACTGCGGCCCATAGGCATCTACATCTATCCTCGATTACGAATCAAAATGCAGATGTGTTGTCACCCGTGAGGACTAAGATCGAATGCCTCGGTTGCAGTAAAAAGGGGCTTCGGTTCTCTCAGTGGCGAAG